CCACAAAACCCCAAAACCCCAAAACCCCAAAACCCCAAAACCCCAAAACCCCGAATTTGGGGGTTTAAGTTGATTTTTTTATTATTTTGTGGGTAAATGAATAGTGTTGTTCAGAGAAGGTTTTCGAGGATGGTGAGAATGAATAATGGCCTAAAAATTCCTTCCATCGGTTTAGGAGTATTTGGAGCTAAAGATCACAATCTTATATCTGACTCGATTGTGAAGGTAGGTTACAGGCATATTGATGCTGCTCAAGCTCTTGGAAATGAGCAGTTGATCGGTGAAGGAGTTAATCAGGCTGTTGAAGATGGTGTTAAAAGAGAAGATATTCATGTCTCTAGCAAAATGTATAGGGCTTATTACGAGGACCCAGTGAAGGCATGTCAGAAGACTTTGAAGGCACTCAAGCTTGACTATTTGGACCTGTTCATGGTCCATTGGCCGATGCCTGATTTTGAGAAGGACAAAAAGACTTTTAAGAGGACTCCTATGTATCAGGTATGGCAAGGGATGGAGGAGTGAGTGAGGTTGGGACTTACGAAGTCTATTGGAGTGTCAAATTTTGGAGTACAGATGATGATTGATATGCTGACTTATGCGGATATACCTCCAGCTTGTAACCAGGTTGAAGTGCATCCATATTATCAACAGCAGGATTTAGTTAAGTTCTGTGATAAGTATGATATTACAGTGATTGCTTATTCTCCTTTGAGCTGTCCTGCAAGGCCAGTTGGTGGAAAATGCTCAAATGCTCTTAAGGATCCTTTACTTGAAGAAATTGCTGCAACTCATGGTAAAACAGTTGCTCAAATAGCCTTAGCGTGGAATCTTCAGCTAGGAAATGTAGTGATCCCAAAGACAAATAATCTAAATAGAGCACAAGAGAACCTTGAAGCATGCTCAATCACCCTCTCTGCACAAGAGATGAGGAAAATATCCTCTATCAGCACAAACCAAAAGATCTTCGACCCTAAAAACTGGCCTATATACGGCAAAATTCCTCTATTTGCTTAATATCGCTCATAAGATCTTTCCAACATATTTTGCGGATCTCGGGGTTTTGGGGTTTTGGGGTTTTGGGGTTTTGGGG